ACCTTTTCATCTTAAGTAATTTATTAATGGTGATTTATATGTTAAATAAAAGTTTTTTTTTTATAATTATACAAATATTCACGGTCAATTATGTAATAGGTTTTTTCGTAAGTATGCAAATATTCTTGATCAATTATGAAATATATTTTTCTCATAATTACGCAAATATTCTTAGTCAATTATGAAACATAAATCTTTTCTTTTAAGCAAATTACAAATGCATCCATAAAGTTTGTTTAAAATATGAATTAGTCCTATAAATTCTAATTTAACACAATATCCAAGAAGAAAAATATTCTCCTATGCAATAATAAATTATCAAAATTTTTTATTGAAAAATATTTCTTATATCATAAAAAATTATTAATTGACTTAATGATTTATTTATTAATAAAATGGTTTGTTGAAAAATATTGTTCATATCATTAAAAATTGTTAATTTACTTAATGATTTATTTATGAATAAAATTGATCATTTGTTATACAAGTATGATTTATGTATTAATAAAATTAGTCATTTGTATATGTATGTATTTTCTTCTACTTCTTTATTAGTATAGTGACTAATCTTAATAGTTCTTTTTAGATTAGAAAGTTATCTTAATATTTATTTATATTTATCTATTGAGAAAAGCTACACATCATATTTTTTTTTTTAAATTCGGAAGAAATGTTAAAGATTCATAAATTCATCCAAAATGATATGGTAATAGAATTAGAGTCGACATTATTGGGTGTATAACAAATCAAAAAATGATACATATCATACTACATAATACTATCATGTATCTAATGATTCTATTCAATTTCATAAAATAATAGTTGAAATTTTAAAAAAAATTATCAAAATACAAAACTTAAGCATATTGTAATAATAACTTGTGCCTTGCATGTAATGTCAGGATAAAATATTTAAAAATATAATTTTTTTTTTTTATAAATATTTTTTCCGGTTCCATGATGTGTAATTCAGTGTATATAAAACAACCACCAATTCATTTGGTATAAATGTCATATTGATTTTCATATAAAACTTGTAACCAGTGTAATAAAGTATTTTTATTCTTGCAATAATATTGAGTATAAATATTATAATTAAAATAGTTAAACCACATTAAATTTGTAACAAAAAATAATTAAATAATAGTTTATTTTTATTAAAAGATTTTAACACATGCTTGTTCTTAAAGCAAAACCTCACATGGCTGGTTTTGGTTTAGAACCGAACTGAACCGTTAAAAAATATGTACATATACTCTCTTCGTTCTGTATTATTTATCCATCTTTTTTTTTTTTTTTCAAAATATTTGATTTTGGAAAAGCCCTCCACAAAATTAGAAAACAATAATAAAAGGGCCCACCCATGAATATAATACATGTCATATATATATTGGATTCGAATCCTCTCTAATACTTTCTTATCCAACAATTATCTGGGCCTTTAGATTAGCTATTGGATGATAGTTGAATGATAAAAAATTCTAAAGAGAATCCTCTTCTACATATATTGGAAGTCCACATTAAAAAAAATTCCATATATTTTGAAAGTATCCAATTTGTTAATTTAATAAAATCTGCTTTGAAAAATGCATTCATAAATTTAGAATAAATTCTACAAGTTTAGTCCTCAATTTTCACATGATTATATATATATATATATCATTGCCTTCTTTGAACTTATAAATTCTATTTATTGGATAATTTACCCTTTTTATTTCTTTTCATTTTCATAGCCTTCATAAAGGTTTTAAATAACTCAATTTTTTTAATCATAAAAATTAAAGTGAAAAATGAGTTTTACACAATTAGCTACAGTAAAAAATTGCAATGATTTAAATTTAAATTTAAATAATATTAAAAAAAAGGCCTCCAATTGACTTTTGAGACACTCACGGAGCCGATCCTATTGACCGGAGTTATCTACAAGTCCTATAACTTTTTTTAACTATCAACATCTCCAAAATACCCTCGCCTTATATCATTTAACACATCAACCATAACACCACTATCATGACCCCACTACCAGCAATTACCTCGGGTTACCAGCGACTACCTATAGCTACTATCTCCTACTACCAACAACCACCTCCAATCTCTCGTAAATTTTGAAGACATTGTTCTTTCCATTTTCCAACAAAAACAAATGTTCATCTCCACTACATTACTACTGCCACCACCTTGAGAGAGAGAGAGAGGAAAATGAGGGAGAGGGATGAGGAGGAAAAATAATGTCTTTACCAAAAAATAGTTTACATTAGTTTTTACCGCCATAGATCAATATAAGATCAACAAAATAATCAAAAAAACACATTCAATGATAAATTTATGACTGACATGTTCGATGTTAGTGGTAAATTTATCACTAAGTGATTTGTATACAAAAAAAAAAATAAAAAATTACAAACACCAAATCTAATTCATTCAATCATTCACACTAACAATCACTTGCTCACAAGACATACCTCTCATACATGTACATACAAAACAAGATAGATTGATAAATTTATCACTAATCAATAAATTTGCAGCAAATTTCCTTTGAGAAAAGAGACAGTGATAAGAGAGAAGGGGTGAGATCTAGAAAACACTATTACTCGGAGTCATTTGAAGTCGATTTCACCATTAAAACAGCTAGATCAATGTAGATCTAGAAGGTAAAGTAGAGATCAAAATATAGAGTTGTCACAACCCAAACCCGTCCCTATAGGTTTAGCGTCGTAACTGGCCAGTAATCCTTAGATTACCGAAGGCCTCTTAAAGACTTGACTTGAAATTAGGGGCTACGGAAGTAATTACGTAAAGAAATATACATAGTCTATCGAGCTGTGCAGACATATATGGAACTGAAAATCTTAAATTTTATAAACATACGAGTGATGTCATAGGTACAATATTTACACGCCACTTCATGTACACATAAAAGAAAAACTTATTCATAGAGCAAAGGAACAGCCTTATACATTCATATTAACATACCACAAAACATGACTTGAACTGGAACCTCCTCGTGAGGCGCAAAAGGTGGCTGACAAACACAAAAATGCATCAAGCGTCATCTTAAGCCTGATTACGAGCTTGCTCACCTACATACATAATAAATAACTAGTGAGCGGTAGCCCAGTGAATAATTACAGAGTAAAGGGGTAAATGAATGATGTTCCATAACTATTTCTGAAATCAAAGTTTACGTTCGTATTCTCATTCTGCGCATATATATATAAATTAGAGTTCATGCTTAGTCTTGCATAGTGCATCCGTTAGCGCTAACAGATCATAAACAGAGTATCATAAATCATGCTTGTCAATTCTATAGAAGAACCTCTGGTCGGGTAAAGATAACTTGTCAGTTCTATAAAGAAACCTCCGGACTGGGAACTTGTAAACTTGTCAATTCCACTTAGGAACCTCCAGCCGGGTACAGATAGGTTGTCAGTTCCATAAGGAGCCTCCGGTACTGGGAATGTCATGACCCAAACCCGCCCCTATAGATTAAGGTCATAACCGGCCAGTAATCATGAGATCGCCTACGGCCTCAAACCTGATATCAATTAATAATTAATAATATGGGGCCAGATGCGGAAGCCAACTTAAAAATTTTGTCCAATGAGCTATGTTTACATGGCATATCAAAGCATTTCACATATACTTGATAATAACCCACACCACATATCAGTAGTTAACATCTTGTATACCCAAGATCATTCAAACACATAGTCAACTAAACCAACAGCTTATAGACATAAACGGTCTATTATGACCAACAGAGATAGGAAAAGGAATACAAGAGATTATAAACAAGGCCTCTTGCGTGAGGCACCTGGGTTGACTTTACAAACTCGGGTTCCTTTCTTAAATTCCACTAAGGCTGGGGTTGGACGTCTTTTTGCTCACCTACATACATCTGAATCTTCTTCTTCTGGATGAACAGAAACAACTTCATAATCTTCTGGGACCTCAATGTTTTCGAATAGAGCCACTCGTTTAACATTCTTCTTTTCTTTATCACAATCACGAGCGTAGTGGCCTTCTTCACCACAAAGATAACATTTGCAGCTTTTCGTTCTTTGCAAATATTTTCTTTTATCAATCATTACATGGGAAGGATGTGGTTTTCCTTTGTATGTGGTGGCCTTGCGAAGTCCATACTTCTTTTTCTCAGTCTCCTTGTAGTATCCTGGAATGGGAATCTCTTTGCAGAAATCAAGATTCCGAAGGCTCTTCTGGAAAGCAGCATTCTTGCATTCAGCTTCCAGATATTTGTAGGAGAAAAGAATTCTTGGACCAACACCAATGATGTTTCCAGGATATCTTTCACTGAATGCCTTCTTTATTCTTTCTCCTGGTGGCCTTGCGAAGTCCATACTTCTTTTTCTCAGTCTCCTTGTAGTATCCTGGAATGGGAATCTCTTTGCAGAAATCAAGATTCCGAAGGCTCTTCTGGAAAGCAGCATTCCCCTTTCGGGTATAACCCTGATTATGAACCTGACGCTCACGTACCCACTGATTACCCACCGTCTACCTGGGTTAATCCAATTTTGGTATCAGAGCTAGTTGATATGGCTATTACAACGTAAACCACTAATCAGGGTAGTAAGGCCTCTGTTGTGTATGATTAATTATGCTTTCCTATATATTTTATCTATATATTTGAAAATCATCTGTATGCCAGGGCAAAAGTAACCATATGTTAATCAAGGCAAAGGCTATTGAATGTTTCGATATTATAAGAAAGTATAGCATGATTTCTGTATTTATTACTCTAAGGCAGTTTAATTCTATGTAAAAGACACAGGCCCTATATCTGGCAGAGAGGAGTAAGTCCAGTGAAACCCTGTGGTGAACAAGAACAACTTGGACCTTGAGTCATAAATATAGATTATAGCGCTTCTTTCTGGTAATTAGAAATTATAAATAGCTCAGACTAGTTAATATATTTTTACCCAGACCAGTATCTAGATTATGACAAATATATGGGAACAAAACATTAAGGAATGGTATGAAAAATCAGAAACTTCACGCCTAAACTACCTTGATCTTTCTACAACTGTTAAGCCATCCTCTAAAGAACTAGCTCATAATATTGCTGTAATTTACGATAGGGTTTGCCTTTTAAGTAAAGTCTCTTTGAAAGAATCTCGTAACCTTGTAACTGAAAACCATTTACTAAAAAGTTCCTTAGAGAAACTCCAGACAAAGGTTATTAGGCTTGAAAAGGAAGTTGTAAATCTTACTTCTTTTCTTTTAGTCCAAAAGCCTTTAACAAAACAGGAAGTACGAGATCTTGTAGCAGAACTCACTCATCAATCCAGAAACGCCGAAAATCAAGCTGTTGAACTATTACAGAAGGTGCAAGAAAAGATCGACTCCGTAGAAGCTGTACTCCAACAACTTAAGCAGGTTGTGCTTGGATGACCAGCAGCCAAGATAATCTTTTCTATCTCACAGCACTAAAGGCAACAGAAGAAATCGAGGAACCCGCGATTGGATTATCACAATCCACGGGCAAAGCAGCAGGAATCTCAGAAAGCAACCGAGTTCTAATTCGACAGAACAACACCATAATTGAACTTTGTGTTCGATTATCCAATCAAGTGTCCCAGCTTGAAGCCAGAATTCGCTCTCTTGAGGCAAACAAGCAAGCTGAGAGAGGAATTACCCCGGATTTAGTTTCAAAACTTGAAAAGCTCACTCTTGGCCCAAAGGAAAAATTAAAGGAACCTAAAGGAGTTCTTAAGGTTCACCGGAATCCTTACAAACTCTTACAAGAAGAAATTGAAAAGGCAAAGCTGAAATGATGTCCAGAAGTAGCTCATCCAGGACGGTTACTCTTCCTAGAGTGACAGACCGACCTCAACAAACAGCAGCAACCCCAGGAGCACCTCTCGTTGAAGATCAAATACGAGAATACCGACAAGGCCAAAGAGCAAGATTCATACGAGAAAGAAAGGCGAAGAAACTATTCCAAAGGTTTCGAGGAAAACAACCAACCTCAAACACCTTGGAACAGCAGATAGCACCAGAAACACAGCTCCAGCTGTCAATGGCGGAACGAGCAAATATTGCCCCTGCAGAAGTCCTTTATCGATCTAGACGAGATGATGCTCATCATCGTGTCTATATTCATAGATCAGAAGAAACAATACTCTGTGTTGGTGACACACAGATAGAAAGGGCATTTATTCAAGAAGAAAGCTTTGACCAGCTCCAACAAAGCCGAATGCAATATATCCATCTTGGTGTAGTCCAAATACGGCTTCAAGTCCTCCATCGAATAGAACAAGGAACTATGGCACTAGTTGTTCTACGGGACACACGATGGCGAGGAGACCAATCTACTTTCGCCTCTATGGAAGTAGATTTAACAAAAGGAATCCAGATGGTGTATATAGTCCCTAACACCATGATGACAATCGCAGATTTCTATAATCATGTCCAATTGGTACTTCAAACCAGAGGTTATGAAGCATGGCAGAACGGCGAGGCAAATCTTCTTGTCACCAGAGGCATGGTGGGAAGGTTATCAAATACTCCCAATGTAGGCTTCGCATATGAAATCCAAGGAGTGACGGATTTTCTTACCTCCAAGGGCGTAAAGGCAATTGCTGGTGAACGAGTTTCAACCGAAGGATTAAGAGGTTTAAACTGGGTTGTTAAGCCACCAGTTCAAAGGCTTATTGCTCAACAACCTACTACTGTGCAAACGCGGAATTTACCAGGAGGAAGTGTAAGTTATCATTTCGGTAACTACATCAACGCAACACCAACACCACCCGCCCGATATGATTCAAATGACAACGAGGTCACGCAAGATTCTGATGATGATAGCTCCGTCCAAAATGAGCTAACAAATCGCCAAGAGACTCTTGCCGCTGGATGGGAAGAAGATTCCCTTTCTTCTCTTACTCCCTGTAAATTTCAACTCATCAACAATGATTCTGATGATCAAGTAGATAGTGGCGATGATACTGATCAGGTTCTTTACCCTTTCGGGTATAACCCTGATTATGAACCTGACGCTCACGTACCCACTGATTACCCACCGTCTACCTGGGTTAATCCTTTTGCCACACAACCAGCAAATCAGCCTATCTTTACTGATTTAACGGAAGGTGGTGAGGTACCTGAAGAATTCCTAAAAGTTGCCAACACTTTTCACAAATTTGAAGAAGTGACAAAAATTCAACAAGATACCATGGAAGCTGTTGAATTTGCTGCTGCTTATGAAATGATGACAGAGGATTTTGGTAACACTGAATTACAAGATGATTCTTCTTCTGAATCTTCTCAAGACAGACAAAAACAGAAGAAAAAGCAAAAGAAGAAGAAGCGAGCAGTTTGCAAACACTGCTACCCTGAAGAAGAATACAAGGAATTTGAAGCTGTTCACGCTATCAAACTTGTACCACATGCCCGTATTCCTTTCAGAGCAACAACTGGATCCGTTGGCTATGATCTATCCTCTATAGCCAAATATGTTATACCACCACAGGAAAGAATATTAATTTCCACCGGGATCGCCCTGGAAATACTACCAGGAACATATGGACGGATAGCTCCACGATCCGGATTGGCACTTCATCATGGGATTGATGTTGGGGCAGGAGTAGTTGATCCAGATTATAGGGATGAGGTAAAAGTTCTCCTATTCAATCATGATAAGAATGAACCATTTATTGTTCAACCTGGTGATAGAATTGCACAAATAATTTTTGAAGAAGTTGCGTATCCACGTGTGATTCCTAAAGATGCTCGCAACCTTCGTGATATTCGCAATTTAAGTAACAAGTATCATCAGGGTTTTGGAAGTACTGGGAAGGGAGTTGCTTTGGAGCAACAAGGTTGGGATTCTGATCCTGATCTTACCCAATCCAGTCATACGATCGCGATGTTGGAAGAACAGGAACTGGAAACAGAGTACCCTCAAATCCAGAAGATAGAACAGCTAATTGAGAAACATTCCAAAAGAAACAAGTCAGAATATCTGCTTTCATCTTCTTCAACAGCTGTGTCCAATTATCAGCCTCCTCAAGATTCCATGATGGGTCCTCCAGGTTATCCACCAGCTACTGGACAGACTGCTATTCCTATTCCCCAAAGACCTGCATATGGGAATGGAGTACCAAGGTTCAACAATTTTCGAAGAGATCCAAAAAATGAATGGTGGAACTTACCCTCTGCAATGCATCAGACAGGTGCAATTTTTGTAATTCCACACCCTCTTGGAAAATTTGATGACGTTTTCATGCGTTGGGAATCAATCACAAAGATTCATGTAGCCATGCAAGGCTTTACGGAGGTCCGTAATAAAATCATGTTTATCGAAAATCTCCTCGGAGAAACGGAGAAGCTCATGTGGACTCAATGGCGTATGGCTTACACAACAGAGTATGAAGCCCTTGTCGCCTCGGGAGATGGAGATGAAGGAACACAAAATATTATCTCTCAAATGAGGACTGTATTCACCCTTGAAGATCCTTGTCTAGATCGATAAAGGACTTCTGCAGGGGCAATATTTGCTCGTTCCGCCATTGACAGCTGGAGCTGTGTTTCTGGTGCTATCTGCTGTTCCAAGGTGTTTGAGGTTGGCTGTCTTCCTCGAAACCTTTGGAATAGTTTCTTCGCCTTTCTTTCTCGCACAAATCTTGCTCTTTGGCCTTGTCGGTATTCTCGTATTTGATCTTCAACGAGAGGTGCTCCTGGGGTTGCTGTTGTTTGTTGTGGTCGATCTGTTACTCTGGGAAGAGTAACCGTCCTGGATGAGCCACTTCTGGACATCATTTCAGCTTTGCCTTTTCAATTTCTTCTTGTAAGAGTTTGTAAGGATTTCGGTGAACCTTAAGAACTCCTTTAGGTTCCTTTAATTTTTCCTTTGGGCCAAGAGTGAGCTTTTCAAGTTTTGAAACCAAATCTGGGGTAATTCCTCTCTCAGCTTGTTTGTTTGCTTCAAGAGAGCGAATTCTGGCTTCAAGCTGGGACACTTGATTGGATAATCGAACACAAAGTTCAATTATGGTGTTGTTCTGTCGAATTAGAACTCGGTTGCTTTCTGAGATTCCCGCTGCTTTGCCCGTGGATTGTGATAATCCAATCGCGGGTTCCTCGATTTCTTCTGTTGCCTTTAGTGCTGTGAGATAGAAAAGATTATCTTGGCTGCTGGTCATCCAAGCACAACCTGCTTAAGTTGTTGGAGTACAGCTTCTACGGAGTCGATCTTTTCTTGCACCTTCTGTAATAGTTCAACAGCTTGATTTTCGGCGTTTCTGGATTGATGAGTGAGTTCTGCTACAAGATCTCGTACTTCCTGATTTGTTAGCTCATTTTGGACGGAGCTATCATCATCAGAATCTTGCGTGACCTCGTTGTCATTTGAATCATATCGGGCGGGTGGTGTTGGTGTTGCGTTGATGTAGTTACCGAAATGATAACTTACACTTCCTCCTGGTAAATTCCG